GGAGTCCTCTCTGCCTCCCAAGCCCAGTGGGAATGACCTTTCTCTTCCCTCCAACTCTTTTCTGAGCCTGAATTTTCTCACTGTAAAATGCTGATAATCATGGAAACTCACTCACTTATTCCCTTCCACCTGCCCTGCCTTCATTCCACTAATATATTTGTTTAGTGCCTACTCTATGCCAGGCACCATGTCTCTCATGGGAATCGCTATCAATGAGCAGATCAGCCGGTGGTCGGCCTGTTTGCTATCATCTCCGTAGCAGGATTCCTCTGCATAGCCTAAACAGTTTCACTGAGTAACAGCATTCATCGATGACTCTGTGGCCATGATGGAAGAAGACTAAAGCAAAGCCACTCCCTAGCCATGGCTGAACAGAGGTGAAAACAAAACACCAGGCAGCCACAGAAATGACGGTAAATGCTTCCTTGAACTCTCCCCAAAGTCACTCAACGGAAGCCCAATCCTAGAGCAAGCTTCTTCAGACTCTCTCGACTAAGATGCTCCCTGCAACCTCCCTGTGGCAGCAAATGATGAATTCACCTCTGTCTGCATGTGTTCCTGGTTGTCTCTGGCTTGTGGGCACTGGAAATCAAAATGCTTTTTAATTGTGAAAGCCCTCTGCAAATGAAAGGGGTTATTCCTTTTCTGAATCAAAGGACTGAGTCCTTTGAGCTCCACCTTGTTGGTGACTGTAAATCTTACCATATATCAGGCCAACCTGATGAATTCCAGCATATTCCAAACTTAGCCAAGTTCTAAATCAAGGGACGTGAGGCACTCATACGATCTTTCCTTGGTGGTCGCAGGATCCTAAATAGCCAGAAAGCCATTCGGAAGGGGACACCAGTCACTGATAGTGGTCCCTCCATGAATATCATGTCTGTCTGATCAGAGCCTGAACACACAAGATGCTCCTGGAGTGCTAGCATGTGGAAATTAGTTTTTATTACTTACAAAAAGAAGCAGACAGCACACCAGAACAAATGTGAATCCATTTTTGAGCTGGTCCCCCTTGATTTGAAAAGGTTGTCTGGATGAAGATAACAACTCTCCTATGTGTACCCACTTTGTATCATAGGCAAGGGACGCAAAGAGGGTCTTCCTTCAGCTGATTCTCCTTGGCCCGTTAGGTGAGATGGAAAGCTCTGCTACTTGTGCTGCTGCGTGGCAACGTAGGCAAGCACTCTAAATCCCTCTCCTGGCCATTTTGATACCCCAAAGCCTATGTGACTCGCTACATGGAGGGCAAAGCAGATTTTTCTCTCCTGACCACCCAAAAAGGGGGGCTGGTTAGACACTTTGGTGCCTAGCCTGGAATTGTATCTCTTTAACCCTACTGTAAATATCAGGCCTCAGGAAGGGGTGGGGTGATGGTGGTTTGTTCTGAGGCCTAAAGATGCTAACGGGGGAGGAACAGGGAAGATATTGCCACTGGGCTGGTCCAAAGGACTGCCTCCTCACAAAGAGACTGTCGTTTAATGCTTCCCAGGTTAGTTTAGTAGATTTGTAATGACCTTCACCTGGTACAGAAGGTGATTGGCAAACAAGCAAATGCAAAACAGCAATTTTAGTCCTTTTTTATTCACTTTCCATGTAGCAGGAATAAAAAGTTTAACAGGGGAACTCACAGCATTTTGCAGAGACATTGCTATCAGCCACACATCTGGCCTTTAATTACCCTTTATATTTATTTCACCCAGAAAATATTTTGACTCACATGCTTGATCAGCTTAAAGCAGAGGATGACCTTAGAAAATAAGTACAGAAACACAAATTTTTCAACAGATGGATTACAAAGGAATGCAATTATATGGAAAATGTCTTTGCTTTTAAAAAACATTCACACACATATTAGTCTGTCAGAAAATGTATGCAACTAATTACATGAAAAATATGGGTTCTACAATAATATTGTGTACATATAGTCACTTCTTGCAAAGCAGGAATGATTAGGCATGTTATTAATGGAACAGAAGTCAAATTGTATACACTAAATTATGTTTTTGAGGGAAGAAACCTATTAGAATCTATTTTATGATGTATTTACTACTTTTTACAACTTAATAAGTATTTAAGTCTTGTTTGCAGACCACCTAAAGTAATGATTTTGCTATTTTGGAGTAAAATTAAAAACAAAAAATAAACCTTAATAATTATAGATTGTTAGACTAGAGGAGCCCCTGGATGAAGTACACAGTTTATTTGCTTGGCTGTGAACCGAAAGGTTGGCAGTTCGAGTCTACCCAGAGGTGCCTCAGAAGAAAGGCCTTGTTATCTACTCCAAAAAATCATCCATTGAAAACCTTATGCAGCAAAGTTCTACTCTGGCATACGTGAGGTCACCATGAGTCAGAGTCAACTTGATGGCAACTGGTTATTTATTTTTGGTTATACAAGGCAAAGCTGAAGACATCCTGCCACTCAGTTTTGTGTGTCCAGCCAAGGTCCTGACCTGGGCAAGGTAGCTGGCTAGTGGACAAAGTGGCCTTGTTCCCCAGGCTGCCATTCCAAGTGGAACCTGGGAGAGGGAAGCTGATTAGAACAATCACATTCAATATGTGTAGATCACTAAGGCAAACTCAACCCCCTGGGCTGTGAGCATTTGTTGTTAGGTGCTGTCAAGTCGGTTTCGACTCATAGAGACCCTACACAACATAATGAAACACTGCCCGGTCCTGTGCCAGTCTCACAATCGTTGTTATGCTTGAGCTCATTGTTGCAGCCACTGTGTCAATCCATCTTGTTGAGGGTCTTCCTCTCTTTCTCTGACCCTCCACTTTACCAAGCATGATGTCCTTCTCCAGGGACTGGTCCCATCTCATAGCATGTCTAAAGTATGTGAGACAAAGTCTTGCAATCCTTGCTTCTAAGGACCACTATGGGTGTACTTCTTTTAAGACAGTTTTATTAGTTCTTTTGGCAGTCAATATTCTTTGCCAACACCATAATTCAAAGGTGTCAATTCTTTGGTCTTCTTTATTCATTGTCCAGCTTTCCCATGCATATGGGGTGACTGAAAACAACATGGCTTAGATCAGGTGCACCTTACTCCTTAAAGTGACATCTTTGCTTTTTAACATTTTCAAGAGGTCTTTTGCAGCAGATCTGCCCAATGCAGTGTGTCATTTCTTGACTGCTGTTTCCATGGGCATTGATTGTGGATCCAAGTAAAATGAAATCCTTGACAACTTCAGTCTTTTCTCTGTTTATCATGATGTTGCTTATTGGTCCAGTTGTGAGGACTTTTGTTTTCTTTAGGTTAAGGTATAATCCATACTGAAGTCTGTGGTCTTTGATCTTCAACAGTAAGTGCTTCAAATCTTCTTCACTTTCAGCTAGCAAAGTTGTGTTATCTGTGTAACACAGGTTGCTAATGAGTCTTCCTCCAATCCTGATGCCCCATTCTTCTTCAAATAGTCCAGCTTCTTTGATTTTTGACTCAGCTTGAGAAATGTCGAGTGTGTTCTTCCCTTTTGGTTTTCTAACTCTAGATCTTTGCACATGTAATTATAATACTTTGTCTTCTTGATCCACCCTTTGAAATCTTCTGTTCAGCTCTTTGACTTCATCATTTCTTCCTTTAGCTTTAGCTACGCTATGTTTAACAGCAATACATGCACATAATTGTTTCTTTTCAAAATTTTTTCTCCATTATTTCATATAAATTTAGAACAATATTTTTAAGTTCTTCTCTAAAATATAATAATTGTTATTGTAGCTATAATTCATAATAATTAGCAATTAATTTATTACTAAATGATCTATACAGAAATATTTTGAACTTCATTAATACAGATCTCTGAAGCACCACATATTTCCTCTTACAGATTTTGAAAACTTCCTGTTAAGGTTAAGGAAACATTAAACGGCAAGAAAAAAGAAAGGAAGGGAGGAAGGAAGAGGGAGGCAGGCAGAGAGACAAAGGAGGGAGGGTAGAAGGAAGGAAGGAAAAAAAGAAATAGAAATAAACAGGAAAAGATTTTACAGAGTATAAAATGATCGCGTATATTAAAAAGAGGGTAGGTAAGGTAGACAACTTACAAACACATGCGTTGTTCCATGTGAACCAACAAATTAACCAGTTGCTCTTGAGTTAATTCCTACTCATGGTGACCCCATGTGTGTGAGGGTAGAACTGTGCTCCACAGGGTTTTTAATGGCTGATTTCTCTGAAGTAGATTCCCAGGACTTTCATCCCAGGCAACCTTAGAATCTCTAACCTTTCCATCAGCAGCAACTGAGCATGCTAACCTAATGGTTGCATAACCCAGGGACTTCTGTTCCATGTGAGCTTTTTGTAATCTTGAGAATATTGTACCTATGTCTACTCTGGCTCTTTTCACAGTACATTAAAATTGTCAATTTACTTTTCTGCTTCTTCTACTAGAAATTGAGCTCTCTGCCTTGTGTCTGCCTTAGCAGAGTATCTGTCTCATAGATTGTGGTAGGCAGAATTCTACCACAATCCTCAATGACCCACATCCTTGTATAATAATTCTCTCCTTTTGAGGGTGAGAAGAACTGTGAATATGATGGGATATCACTCCCATGATTATGTCATGCTCTGTGGCATAGGTGACTTCAAGAAGGGGCTATTACCTTTGGTGGGCTTGGTCTACTCACACGAGCTAATGGGGTTATAGATGGGCGCAATCTGGAAAGCAAGTTGGAAATATGTGGTGACATTATATATAAGCATCTGCCCTCTGATCATTAGTGTATATTCCTGGGTTTATGTCTCCCACCCTCAAACTGGGGGCTCTTTGGAGTGAGGATACAGAGCTACCTCTGAACCTGCCCCTGAGGCTGCCCCCTGTCTCCTTCATCAAACTAGGGGTGCCCAATTATCGCCTGTCTTCTACAGACCTGGGGCTCCAGAGCAGGGCAGCGCCTAAGGCGGCTCCGGGCCCGCGCCCCCGCCCCAAGCCCGCGGAAGAAGGCGGTTACGCAGAGGGCCCCGAGCCCGACGGCCGCGCTCCCAGCTGGACGCCGTCGGGCGGATGGCGGACTCCGGGGTCGAGCACACAGGCCGAGGCCGGCCGGGGACCCGCGTCCGGCCGGCCGACCATCTCTGGCTACATCTCCTGCTACTGCTGCCACCGCCCGTAACCGCGGAGGCAGCCGAGCAGCAGCCGGGCGCCCGAGCAGGCGGTGGGGTCCGGGGTGGAGTCATGCGGGCCGGGGCGGGCCGGGTGGGGGTTGCCCCGCAAGGAGGGGCCTGAGGTCGCCTGCCGCCTCTCACGTATGCTACCCACTTTTACTCTGTTTTCCCCTCCCCCAGACAGTGGCCAGGACATCAGCCAAGGTGGGTCGAGCTCTCTCATCTTTGGGTGTGGGGGACCATGGGCTGTGGGCTGCTGGGAGGGCTGGGCCCTATGGTCTGGACTCCAGACAGATGTGGGAGTGCTGAGGCCCAAGGGGACCAGGGCACCCTCTCTTCCCTTTCTGCTCCTTCCCGCTGGACCTCAAGCCTCCTTCACTCTAAGGGGCGAGGCCTTGTACAGGGACCTGTGCAGATCAGCCTCACACTCTCTTCATTTTAAGCATGGGGAAATACTGCTTCAGACAGGTCAGTTGTCAGGAGTCTGTTTTATGCACGTCAGCTCCTTCTGCTAATCTCATTGTGCCTCAGTCTCCTCAGGAGATGGGACTGAGGGGGAGAGGCACAAGCACTTCAGCCTTAGTGACCCCTAGCCAATAGCAGACCCTCTGTAAGCCCTCACTTTCTGCATCTTCAGCAAGAGCATGCCAGTTGAGTGCAGTAAGGAAGGGCTTGGCACAGTGCCAGCTCCCAGCCCGTCTACCCTTTGGCAGGCCCACTTCTGGGCAGCGTGCCCACCTGTAGCAGCCTTTCCCCCTCAGACCCACAGGCTCTTCCCACAGAGTTAGGTTCACTCCTCAGTGGCTGCCATCAGGGACAAAGCCAGGCGGCCCTTTGTGATCTAGGCCATGTCACTTAGCCTTGCCTTTTCCACCTGGGTCCTGTTGATGCTGACATTCCGGGGCACTGCAGGCTGGTGTCCTTAACACAGGTGCTTCATGGCGTGTTGTCTCCACAGTGTGTGGGAAGCCCACGGTAGCCGGGAAGATCTTTGGTGGCCAGAGTGTGGTAGGTGAACGATGGCCATGGCAGGCCAGCCTGCTCTACCTTGGCAAGCACGTCTGCGGGGCTGTCCTCATAGAACGCTACTGGGTGACCTCAGCTGCCCACTGCTTCGTCAAGTGCGTCTTTCTTCCACGGGGCCCCAGCTGCTGGGATGGGCTAGGGGAGGCACAGGGTGGAAAGGTGGAAAGGCAGGAATAGGGTAGACGGTGTCTGGCCTGTTTTTCTAGGCCTTGTTCTGGGACACTTTGCTGCCACCAATTGTCCCAGTGTGTGCTGTTGCCCTACCTTTGACCCAGCAGCCTCCTCTGTCCAGAATGACATCCTTGCTCACCATCTGAACCTTCTTTCCCCTGAATAAGACCCCTCTGGGCTGGGTTAGACAGGCCCCCTCTGTGGAAGAGCCTCAGTGTATTCAGCACAACAGCCTGTCAAGCTTGGCTCTGTGTCCATCTTCCCTTATATGTCTGCGGGTGGACTCTCTGTGCCTCACAGTCCTGATGGGTGTTGGGGGCTCAGTCTGTGTGTGTTGAGTAAATGGGTAAGAGAATGAGCACAGAGATGAGTGGGCGAGTGTGTGTGCTGGGACCTGCACTTGCTGCCTTGTGGGCTGATGACCCAGGGGTCTGTCTGGTCCAGGATTGCCACTGATATGCTCTCTCACTTTGAAGGTATCATCTGCTTTCTTGGGGCCCCAGCTTCCTTCTACCATCTCAAAATCTCTGATTTTCTGACCAGAACAGACCCAAAAGGTGACCCTGTCTCTTGACATCTGCATCACATCTCCCAGGACAGAGAACATATAACTTCATCTCTCACTCTGAGGATGCCCCCTGGTTCCCACCCCATCCACACACATAGTTTGGTAATACCTGCCAAGATCGTTTGATTGTCTCAGCTACATGTGCATTATTTTAAAATAGCTAAATAGAAATTAATTAACTCTAGTAGTGATTATCAGTAAATACTGGAAAAAGGATTTTAGTTACAGAGTAATTGCCTCCGGTTCGCTCTTTATCCCCCAAACTTTAAGAATCTAAGTCCTGCTCACACTCAGGGTGGACTTTGGTTTCTACCTCTTGCCCAGCTCTAGACAGTCCCACAAGAGTTCGGTGGGCCTCAGTTTCCTCTCATGTAAATGGTAATGAGTGTGCAGGGTCTTTGGCTGTACACTTGGCACAGCTTTAAGTCAGAGTGACAGCCCCAGGGCCCTGCCTCCCTGGGCAGCAGTGGTGCCATACCCTCTTCATTTTAAGGCAGACGCAGTTACAACATTACAATCAATGTCACTCCCCATAGGGTGAAAGTTCTCAAAGTCAGGGACTAGCCTTTTGTCCTCTCCCAGCCAGAGCTCTCTGTGGGCCATTGGGACATCCCTGCCGGAGGTTCACCCAGGTACTGATCTACCTGCACACTCTGGCACAGCCCTCCTCTCTGAGGCATCCTGGAACTCTGTCTTTCCATCACTGTAGAACTACATGCCCAAGAGGGGCTGCAGTCACTACCGTCCCCACAGGCCAGAGCAAAGGATGAAGCACATGGCCTCTATCCTAGGAGAAGTGACACAGACTGGAGACTGGGCCACTACTTGGGTCACACCTCGAGTCAGTAAGCCAGAGCTCTGGCACCAGCTGGCTTTGAGACACCACTTGGTCCCATTTATTTATTCAGCACCCATGGGTGCCAGGCCCTCTGTGAGGCCCACTGTGGGGGATGCAGAGATGCAAGGCCTACCTCAAGCTTCTCATCCTATCAGGAAGGTGATACAGGACGGAGAGGCCAGTATGTGTGAGAGCGCATACCCTGAGGGAGTGAACACATGCTCCATGGTTCCTGTCAGAGGGTGGGCTTGGTTGGAGGGGCTTCAGTGGAAAGGATTTGAACATGTGGAGTCTAGACAGTGGGACAGCACAAGCAGGATGTAGAGGTTGTAAAGTGGCAGTCACTTGTGTTTTGCAAGTGGGGAGTTAAGTCCCACACACCCCTCCATTTGAAAAGGATGGAGTGTAAGGATTGAGAAGGAGCAGGTGGGAATGTAGCTGGGGATGGACTGTGCTGGGTGGGAAATAAGGTCTTTGCTGGGAGTTTTCAGAGGGTTCTGGTCAGAGCTGGGACTAAGCCGAGTCTCCTCATTTCTAAAATGAAGGAAGTACAATTTGATGTGCCCCCAATGTCCTTTCCAGCACTACGGCTCTCTGCTCCTTTGATTCTGTGGTGTGTTGGGGAAGCCATCAGAAACTTTCTAAAGACAAAAGTCCTAAGTCTGTAGACAGCAATCAAACCTACCTCAAGAGGGTTACCTGATAATAGGAAGTCAGGAGACGTCCAGGAGCTTGCCAGGAGGGGTGGGCAGTCCAGGGGAAGTGTGCTGGCACAGCACTCAGAGGACGCTTCCACCAACAGGTCTCACAAGCCAGAGGACTACCGGGTGCTTCTGGGGTACAGCCAGTTACACCAGCCCACCCAGTACAGCCTGCAACTGACAGTGAACCGTATCATTGTCCACCCTGACTTCGACAAGTTTCACCGCATGGGAAGTGACATTGTCATGTTGCAACTGCACCTGCCTGTGAACTTCACTTCCCACATTGTCCCTGCCTGCCTCCCAGTGCCTGACTCTCAAATTCCCACTCATGCGTCCTGCTGGATCTCTGGCTGGGGGATGCTCAGTGAAGATGGTGAGGGGGACAGAGTAGGGTGGGTGATAAGAAAAAGGTGAAGGGGAGAGGGAGGTGCAGCTTGGATGGGGTTCCAGCTGGGCTCTAGTTCTGTATCTCACTCTTATCCTATAAAATGACTATTGTGGGGCTCTCGCTGCCCTGATGCATGTTATTCTAAAGCTTCAAGATTCCTTCAGTCAATGGTTCAAAAAGTCTGAGCATCTCTAACTTTTGGAATCAGGAACTTGGATTCTGTGACTCTGAACCATGCATAAATCTGTTGTTCTGAGCAGATGTGGGTCTGTTATCATTTGATTCAGTCCTGACTCCAAGGTCCTGCTTGGGTCTGGCCTACTCCAGGGCTGCAAAAAAATATCTCTTGAGCTTCCACTGACATAGAAGGTGCTTGGTAGAGCAGTAAGGATATGAAGGCTGGGTCTACCCTCTGGTCTGTGGGGTCAAGTTGGAGTGTTTATGACTTAAAAACATTTACCTCTCTGAATCTCACTTCCCTCATCCCTTAACTCAAGTAAAACTTGCCCATTCTGCCAGCTTCCTGGGCTTGTATGTTTTTACATTGAGAGGAGAAAAGTTGGTGAAAGATTTTTGCACAAGGATGAATGCCATTTTTTATTGTGGTAAAAAAAATATGTATATATATGCTTAGTGGTTTTTAGGTGCTGTTGAGTCACTTCCTACTCATACCGACCCTGTGTACAGCAGAGCAAAACACTCCCAGGTCCTGCGCCACCCTCACAATTTTATGCTTGAGCCATTTTTGCAGCCACTGTGTCAGTCCATCTCATTGAGGATCTTCCTCTTTTTCACTGACCCTCTTCTTTACCAAGCATGATGTCCTTCTCCAGGGACTAATCACTCCTGATAACATGTCCAAAGTATGTGAGACGAAGTCTCGCCATCCTCACTTCTAAGGAACATTCTCTGGCTGTACTTCTGTGAAGACGGATCTGTTCATTCTTTTGGCAGTCCATGGTACATTCAATATTCTTCACCAACACCATAATTCAAAGGCATCAATTCTTTTTCGGTCTTCCCTATTCATTGCCCAGCTTTCACATGCATACGAGGTGATTGAAAACACCATAGCTTGGGTCAGGTGCACCTTAGTCCTTAAAGTGACATCTTTGCTTTTTAACACTTTAAAGAGGTCTTTTGCAGCAGATCTGCCCAATGCAATGCGTCTTTTGATTTCTTGACTGCTGCTTCCATGGGCGTTGATTGTGGATCCAAGTAAAATGAAATCCTTGACAACTTCAATCTTTTCTCCGTTTATCATGATGTTGCTTATCGGTCCAGTTGTGAGGATTTTTGTTTTCTGTTGAGGTGTAATCCATACTGAAGGCTGTAGTCTTTGATCTTCATCAGTAAGTGCTTCAAATCCTCTTCACTGTCAGCAAGCAAGGTTGTGTCATCTGCATAACGCAGGTTGTTAATGAGTCTTCCTCCAATCCTGATGCCCCTTTCTTCTGCATATAGTCCAGCTTCTCAGATTATTTGCTCATTGTACAGATTGAATAAGTATGGTGAAAGGACACAACCCTGACGCACACCTTTCCTGACTTTAAACCACGCAGTATCCGCTTGTTCTGTTCGAACAACTGCCTCTTGATCTACGTACAGGTTCCTCATGAGCACAATTAAGTGTTCGGAAATCCCCATTGTTTGTAATGTATTTCATAATTTGTTATGATCCACACAATCGAATGCCTTTGCATAGTCAATAAAACACAGGTAAACATCTTTCTGGTATTCTCTGCTTTCAGCCAGGACCCATCTGAGATCGGCAGCAATATCCCTCGTTCCACGTCCCCTTCTGAATCCAGCTTGAATTTCTGGCAGTTCCCTGTCGATGTACTGCTGCAGCTGCTTTTGAATGATCTTCAGCAAAATTTTACTTGCATGTGATATTAATGATATTGTTTGATAATTTCCACATTCAGTTGGATCACCTTTCTTGGGAATAGGCATAGATATGGATCTCTTCCAGTTGGTTGGCCAGGTAGCTGTCTTCCAAATTTCTTGGTATAGACGAGTGAGCGCTTCCAGCACTGCATCCATTTGTTGAAACATCTCAATTGGTATTCTGTCAGTTCCTGGAGCCTTGTTTTTCACCAATGTCTTCAGTGCAGCTTGTACTTCTTCATTCAGTATCATTGGTTTTTGATCATATGCTACCTCCCAAAATGATTGAATGTTGACCAATTCTTTCATTATACCATTGGAATGTTTTATATATAGATATAGATACATACAACAAAACATTTGCCATTTCAACATTTTTTGCATATACAATTCAGTGGCATTAATTAGGTTCATCATGTTGTGTATACATCACCACTATCAGATTCTTTGTCTTTTGTTTTGGAGAGCTTGATAATAATGTGTCTTGGTGTGGATCTCTTTGAGTTTATCCTATTTGGAGTTTTTTGAGATTCTTGGACTTGTAGATTCATATCCTTCATCAGATTTGGAAAGTTTTCTGCCATTATTTCTTCAAATATTCTTTGTGTCCTTTTATTTATCCTCCTTCTGAGATTCCTATGATGTATATGTTAGTTTACTTGATGGTGTCTCACATTTCCATTAGACTATGCTCAACAGTCTTCTCTCTTTTTGCTCTTCAGTTTCCATAATTTTGATTATCTTATCCTCGAGGTGCTGATTCTTTCTTCTGTCAGCTCAAATCTACTGATATTTTTCACTTCAGTTATTGTATATTTCAGTTCCAGTGTTACTGTTTTATTTCTTTTTATAGTTTCTATCTGTATTCTCATTTTGTTTATGAAACCTTTTCCTGATTTCTTTTCATTCTTTGAATATGTTTAATATGTTTTGTTGTATAATTTTCTTCTGCTCATTATCTAGGCTTCTATAGGGACAATTTCTCTCCCTTCTTGTTCTTTTGAATGGGCCAGCATTTCCAATTTTTTGTGTGCTTGTTATTTTTGCTGAAGCCAGGACATTAGACTATTACAATGTGTTAGCTTTCTCAGTTCCCTTGCATATGTAGTGATTTAGAAAATGCTAATTTCTTCAAGAAAGTATTGAATGGGCACAGCAGTCTTTGCTCATCACTCTCTCCTGCACACTTTGAGAGCTCTGATTCAGACCAGACTGGAGTTTCAGTCCTTCAGGCAGCTCCTAGACTGGTCAGAAAAGACACACTATCAGTCTGCCCTCAGGTGGCCATGGTCTTCAGTTTTTGCTCACCACTCCCTCCTCTACCCTGTGAAAGCTCCAGTTTAGACCAGGCCATAGTATCAGTCCTTCTGGCAGTTCCCAGGCTGGTCAGAAAAGACACACTGGTCAATCCACCCTCTGGCTGGCACAGCCTCACTGTTCACTGCTCTCTCTGTAAGAGCTCTGATTTCGGCAGATTTGTTATTATAAAGGCTGAAGGAACTAACAAATTACCACCTAAAATATCAGACCTCCCCTACACAGGTCAGAATATATACCCCAAACAGTTTTCCAGCAATCTCTCTCCTATTTACTTTGGATTCAGAGATCAGGGCCCTTTTAGTGCACAGGAGAGCTGTGGATCTGCTGGGGCTGTGGCTGTGGCTTCTCTACAGTCATCTGTCTGCTGTGCCAGGGCAGAGAGGTGTGGGGACAGTGGTAAAGATATTTTCCTACCTTTTAAAATGTACTCTTCTTGTTTCAGTTTGCAGTTCCTTGCTGCCATCCTTTGCTTACTTTTTTAGAGTTCTTATAAGGTTGAATGCAAAATTCTAGTTGCTTGTCTTGGTGTTCATGTGGGGAGAGTGGGATCTTAGACCAGCTCTAACTGCCATCTTCCCTGAAGTCTCTAGGGAGAATGCTTTTAATTTAGGAAAATGTAACATATAGTAAAAAAAAGGAGGAGGTAAATTTTGCATGATTTGTGGGGTCATGATTTGGTAAGTATCTCAGTGTTTTTCTAGGCATTTGGAGCAAGATTTCTTTGCTCTGCGGGCCTGTGCCAGCATTCCTGTTCCTGCCCACTAAATGTCAGTAATACTGACTAGTTGTTATGACAACACACTCTCCAACATTTCCAAAGACACCCTTCTGGGATGGACTATCACTGAGCAGAACAATGAGTATTTTCCAAGATAGGCCATAGTGTAGGAGTTGGGGCATGTAGGGGGAACATCTGTGCCAAGGATCGTGGTCAGGAACAGGAAAGAAATGGGTTGGAGCAGCCAGCAGGACAAAGAGCAGCTAATGTCAATGACTCAGGAACAGGAAAGAAATGGGTTGGAGCAGCCATCATGACAAAGAGCAGTAAATGTCAATGACTCAGACCTCAGCCATCCTCTTTCCTGCCCTCCTCCTCACTGCAGTTTCAGGCTATTGGGCACAGACCCAGTGTCAGTCAGGCCCCAGGCCCCCTAAGGCCTGCTGTGCACTGGCTGCTCTTAATGGCACACAAGCACTCTACACAAGTGCATCAACTGTGCTGCCACGTGGGAGCATTGTAGAGATCTATGAGCCATACCTGGAACTAGAGCCAATGTGATAAGTGTCCACAGCTGGCCATTCCTGAGGTAGGGCCATGTCTCACCTGTTATGTGTGCCTGTGCTGCACTCTGGCCAGACCAGAGTATCCTCCTAACTGGACCATCAGCTCCCACCCTTTTCCTCCAGTTCTGTCTCCATGTAGCAGCCAGAGTGAATGTTTTTACAAGACGAGTAAACCCTCCAGTCGTTTCCTGTGTGTGCTTAGAATGAAATCTAAAGCCCACTCTTTGGCTAAGAAGACCTGCTTGCTCGGGGCCCACCCCCCCCACCCCCCACACCACATTGCAGCCACACTGACCTCCTTTCCCTAGTCATGTCAGCTGGAATTGGCACCTTCTTATGATCACATCTCTGTGAGCGGACAAGCTCCATCCCACATCTGATCTCCACTCTTCTCCCACAGAGTTCCTGCCATTACCTTTCCATCTTCAGGAGGCTAAGGTCGGCATCATAGAAAACCAGTTCTGCAGAAACTATTTCCCACCACCAGACCCCAACAAACGAGTCTACTCTGTGCATGAGGACATGCTGTGTGCTGGGGACCTCAACACAGGAAAGTCCATATGCCGAGTAAGTGAGACCTTTCCCTGCCTGTTCTGCAGGCTCTCGGTTTCTCTGCTAAAGCTTCCTTGCCTGCCACCCCCACCCTAGATCCTGTTGCTCAGCTGAGGACACAGAAGCAATAGGGCTGGGGTGAGTAAGACCCCTGTCTGCTTACCAACCTGCATCTGACTCTCCCCACTGCCCCGTCCCCAGCCAGGCCCTCTTCTGCAGCTCTGGCTATACAGGCCTCTTCCTGTGGCCTCCTCTCCCTCTCCCTCTCCTAAACATTTTGACCATTCCTAGCAGCTCAGAAATATACTGCCATGTCTGTCATTTTAAAATACCCTACATGCACCCTTCCCTTGTCTACATACCCTTCTCCTGACTGCTGTGGCTCCCTCCCAGCAGGGTTCACACCAGGAATGTGTGCATTGCCCTCTCTACTTCGTCAGTTACCTTTCTCACACCAGCCTGCTCCATCAGTCTCTTGTCCCACCATTCCTCTTGTTGTTACTTGCTGTTGAGTTGATTCTGACTCATGGGACCCCATGTGTGCAGAGTACGACTGCTCCATAGGGTTTGGAAGCAGATCGCCTGGCCTGTCTTCTGAGGCCTCTCTAGGTAGGTTCAAACTGCCAACCTTTTGGATAGTAGTGTAGAACTTAACCATTTGCACCACCCAGGGACTCCATTCCTCTCGAATGTGCTTATTCAGGTTTGAGGGTTTATTCTGTGTGTCAGCTTGGCTAGGCCATGGTGCCCAGTTGTTTGTTTAGATTCTTTGTGAAGCAGACACGTGATTAAATCAGTTGGCCTTAAGTAAAGCAGATTACCCTTCACAACGTGGATGGGTCTCTTCCAATCAGTTCAAGGCCTTAAGAGCAGAAAGGGAGTTTTTCCTACAGCAGATTCTGTCTCCAGACTATAAATAGACATCTTGCCAGAACTTCTCCACTCTTCTCAACACCTGACCTACAGATTTTCGTTCAGAAGACTGGTGGTATCTGCAGCCTGTTGGCTGACCTACAGTTTTGGACTTGTCAGCCCTCACAATCACATGAGCTAATTCCTTAAAATCTCTCTCTCTCTCTCTCTCTCTCTCACTGGTTCTGTTTTTCTAGAGCTATTTAGACATTTTGGTACCAAGGGTGGTTCTAGAGGGACAAAAACTTAAGGGTTAGTTTTTTAAATTTGTTTTGGGGTTTTTGGAATTGGTTGTCAAATATTAAAAGACAGTAATGACTCTATTTCTAGCAGTAAAGAGGGCACTTATAGTTCTTGGTGTGATGTGGCAATAGAGATGTGCCAAATATTACTACTGGACATTCCTAATCAAACGCTTATGAGAGACAAGGTTCTAGGTGATCATGTATTTGATACTTTAGAACATTTTTGTCAAACTGACAAGTATAACGACATTGACTGGTTGATCCTAATTTCACTGAACAATGTAGAGAAAGAAAAGGATGAGTTCAGTGGTTCAAATTCCAAGCTAAAGCACTGCATGAATGACCTGAAAGTTGCTATGTGTGCCCTCAAAAAAAAAAGCCTTATCTGCTGTAGCCACAGAGCTAATATTGCTGAAAACCAAATCCAGATTCTTATGCTATGAGTGACTGGATTACAATGCAAATTGAATTTCCAACCTCCCAAAGAGTTGATTGGGAAGGAATGGGGTCCTGAAAATTGGAATTGGGATGTATGGGTAGATACTGATGAAGCTGGGAGTCTTCTTTGCCGATAGGAACAGCCCTTCCACCCCTACCTGAGGAGAATAACCCAGTTTTGCCAGAGGAAAGTGCAATGGCCTCCCCTGAGGGAGATGCCTTGCAAGGCACTGCTGATTCTCCTCAGAATCTACCCTTACTACTCGTCTTTGCAAATTTTTTTTATTTCTCATGTATAGATTTGAGTATTTGTTTAATATTCTTTCCTTTCCACTTGGAGAACTCCCTTAAGTAATACCTGCAGAGCTGGTCTGGTAGTGGCATATTCCCAGAGCTTCTGTTTACTTGGGAAAGTCTTGATTTCTCTTTTGTCTTTGAATTACAACTTTTCTGGGTAAAGAATTCTTGGTTGGCACAATTGTTTTTATTCAGTATTTTATATATGTCGCTCCATTGTCTTCTGGATTCCAGGGTTTTGTGGAGAAATACGCACAAATTCTTACGAAGGAAGCTTGATATGTTATGTTGTGTTTTTCTCCTGCTGCTTTCAGAATTCTCCTCTTGACTTTGGTTTTCAGAAATTTTATTCAAATGTGACACAGGGTGGTCCTCACTGTATTTCTTCTAGCTGGAGTTCATGTAGCTTCCCAAATAAAAAAAAATTAATGAAATAGCATGGGCAAATATAAAGACCAAGTGTATGATATTTTCAGGGAATAAACTCAGTAGTTTAGTTCCACAAGGAATACAGCATCAAGTGCACAAAAAATAAGTACAAATTAAACCCATCAGAAATAGGATGTACAATTATGCTAAAATGGAGACTCATGAACAAAATGGGAGAGGGAAGAGCAAAACAGTAATAGATTTAATATGTTAATATTGTATGTGACTTGTTGTTTGTATGTTAAATGTTGTTGCAGTTGCAAGTTGTGCATATAATATGTGTGGTAACCACTAAGAAATCACCTAGAAAAAATACACAGAAGAAAAGAAGGAAGAAATCAAAAAGGCTCATCATGAGAAAGCAACCAGGCACAAAAAACAACAGAAAAATGACAATAAAAAGACAAAGAATATATAAAATACTCAAAAAATAAATAGCAAAATGAATGAAGCAGACACTTCATTTTCAGTAATAACTTTAAAATGTATATGATCTAAAGTCCCCATGCAAAAGGCACATAGTGGCAGAATGGATTAAAAAAAAAAAAAGAACATGATCTATCCTTTTGCTGCCTACAGAAACACACCTTAGACATAAGAACACAAACAGAATGAAAATAAAAGGGTGAAAAAAAAAAATATTCCATGCAACCAGTAACCAAAAAAGAGCAGAAGTGGCCTTACTGATATCAGATAAAATAAAATTTAAATCCAAATCTATTACAAGAGATAAAGAAGGACATTATATAATAATAAAAGGGTCAATCCATCAAGAAAACATAACAATTATAAATATATATGCATCTAACATCAGTACTCCAAAATACATGAAACAAATGCTGACTAATATGAAAGCAGACACAAACAATTCCACAGTAATAGTTGGGGACTTCAACACACCACTTTCAATTTTAGACAGAACATCTAAAAAAAAGTCCACTAAGGACATTGAGGGCTTAAAGAAAACCATAAGCCTACTGGACCTAACAGACATATATAGAACATTCTGCTATCATCAGAACAATACACATTTTTCTCCAGTGCACAGGTATCATTTTCCAGGATAGACTACATACTAGGCCACAAAATAAATCTCAACAAATTTAAAAAGATTGAAATCATAGAAAGCATCTTCTGACTATAATAGTGTGAAGCCAGAAATCAACAAGAGGAAAAAGAGGGAAAAAAAAATCTAATTATATGGAAAAGAATTAACAGACTGGAGTCCAGTGGTTAAGAGCTATGGCTGTTAACCGAAAGGTTGGCAGTTTGAATCCACAGGCCACTCCTTGGAAACCCTGTGGGGCAGTTCTACTCTGTCCTAAAGGGTCGCTATGAGTTGGAATCAACTCCTCAATGGCAACAGGGTTTTTTTTGGTTTAAAAACTATTGGGTCATAGGAAAAAGAATCAAAAGTGAAATTAAAAAAATACTTAGAATCAAACAAAAATGAAAGTACAACATAGCAAAACCTTTGGGACATAGCAAAAGCAGTACTCGAGGGAAATTCATAGCAATAAATGCCTACATTAAAAAAGAAGAACGATCCAAAATCAATAACTTAAACTGACTACTTGAACAAGTAGAAAAGGAAGTGCAAAAGAAGCCCAAAACTACCAGAGGAAAGGAAATAATAAAGATCAGAGTAGAAATAAACAAACTAGAAAAGAGAAAAACAATAGAATCAACAAAACAAGAAGTTGGTTCTTTGAGAGTATCAATAAAATAGACAAAATAAAAGAAAATTGACAAAAGAAAAAAATTAGAAGAGGCAAATAACCAAAATACAGAATGAAAATGAAGACATTATAGCAGATCCAAATGAGATGAAGACGTCCATAAAAGAATACTATAAAAATGTGTACTTCAAAAAATTTGAAAACTTACATGAAATGGACAAATTCCTAGAGACATACAACTACCTAAAGTAACACAAACAGAGGTAGAAAATCTAAACAGACTCATTACAAAAGAAGAGATTGAAGTTGTCATTTAAAAAAAAAAAAAATTGCCAACAACAACAAAAAAAGCCCAGGACCAGATTGCTTCACGGGAATTTTACCAAATATTCAGAGAAGAGTTGTTACCAATTCAATTCAAACTTTTCAAAAACATAGAAGAGGTAGGAATACCACCTAACTCATTCTATGAAGCCAACATCAGCCTGATACCAAAACCAGGCAAAGACATCACAAAAAAAGAAAATTGCAGACCAAAATCCCTCAAGAATATAGATGCAGGAAACTTCAATAAAATTCTCGCCAAAAGAATTCAACAACATATCAAAAAAAAAAAAAAAATCATACACCATGATCAAGTGGGATTCATACCAGGGTTGCAAGGGTGGTTCAACATTAGAAAATCAATCAGTGTAATGCACCACATGAATAAAACAAAGAAAAAGAACCATATGATCATATCAATTGATGCAGAAAAGGCATTTGATAAAATCCAACACACTTTCCTGATAAAAACTCTCAGCAAAATAGGAATAGCAGGCTAATTTTTCCACATAAGTAAGGGCATGTATGCAAAATCAAGCAAAGATGTCATCTTAAGGACTGCGGTGCACCTGACCCAAGCCATGGTGTTTTCAGTTGCCACATATGCAGGTGAAAGCTGGACAATGACTAAGGAAGACCGAAAAAAAATGGACAATTTTGAATTATGGTGTTGGCAAAGAATATTGAATAT